GGTGAGGGTGCTCAGCGTGGGCCGACTCTTTGTTCGGCGGCGAGGGCCAGCTGTTATCTTCAGCAGGGATGTTCCGGGTTTGTGGCCTATGTGATAAATACCCGGGAGAAGGATAAGGTGATTGTGGATGATGTACCAATTGTTCCGTAATACCAGATGTTTTCTCGGAGTATCTGCCCAGAGTGCCTCCGGAGAGGTAGGTGGGGTTTTAGATTGACCTGGTCGTAGGTGCGGCTCCCATAGCCAAGGCACGTTATTGGTTAGCACCTTAAGATGTGTAGGAATTATCTACACAACTATTGGAGCTGTTAGACAAGATATTTATTCGGCCGAGTAGTTCACCATGGGGAGCACCGATCTTATTTGTAAAGAAAGAGGATGGGTCACATCAGATGTGTATTGACTACCGGGAGCTAAATAAGCTAACTGTGAAGAACCGTTATCCACTCCCAAGATTGATTTGCAAGATTGATTTGCTTTCAGATTATCACCAGATGAGGGTCGGAGAGGAGGATATGTCTAAGACGGCCTTCTGAACTTGATATGGTTAGTATGAGTCCATGGTGATCCCTTCGGGATCAGTAATGCTCCAGCCGCATTCATGGTCCTCATGAATCACGTATGCATGCCTATGCTGGACCGGTCAGTGTTTGTATTATCGATGACATCCTAGTCTATTCCAAGAGTTAGGAACAACATAAGGATCATTTGAGAGAGGTATTAGAGACTTTGTGGAGGGAGAAGTTGTATGTGAAGTTCTCCAAGTGTGAGTTTTGGTTGCCGAGGTGCAGTTTCTTGGACACCTTGTCAACCAGAACGGTATTCTGGTCGATCCGGCCAAGGTTGATGCGGTGATGAGATAGGAGATTCCAAGGTCTCCATTTAAGATTTAGAGCTTCTTTGAATTGGCGGGTTACTATTGGAGGTTCATTCAGGATTTCTCCAACATAGCGGTTCCTTTGACCCGGTTGACGAAGAAGACCATATGTTTTTGTTGGGGCATGAGCAGCAGGCAGATTTTGATACTTTGAGGTGGAGGTTGTGTGAAGCCCCGATTCTGACCCTGCTAGAGGGTGTTGAGGAGTTTGTGGTATATTGCGATGCGTCAATCACGGGTCTGGGTCCAGTTTTGACGCATTGGGGGTCATGTGATTGCTTACGCTTTGAGGCAGCTGAAGCCTCATGAGGCGAACTACCCTACGCATGATATGGAGTTGGGGGTTGTGGTTTTCGCACTCAAGATTTGGGGACATGACCTCTATAGGGTCTGTCGTACTATTTACATGGATCACAAGAGTCTAAGGTATCTGATGGATCAGCCGAATCTGAACATAAGGCAGCGCAGATGGTTGGATGTAGTGTAGGATTATGATTATGAGGTCCTTTATCACCCGGGGAAGGTCAACGTGGTGGCTAATGCTCTCAGCCGTAAGGCAGTTACTGCCCCGATCAGGGATGTATGTTTGTGGATGACCATGTCTACCCCACTCTTAGAGCAGATTCGAGAGGCTCAGGTTAAGGCAATGAAGGAAGAACACCGAAAGAGTGAGTGCATAGTGGGGCAGGTGGCTTCCTTTGATTATGATAGGCAATAAAGGAAGAACACCGAAAGAGTAAATGCATAGTAGGGCAAGTGGCTTCCTTTGATTATGATAGTCAGGGATTATTGACCCTTCATCAGAGGGTGTGGGTACCACATTGGGGTGGAGAGCATCAGGTTTTGATGGAGGAGGTCACAAGTTGAGGTTCTTTATTCATCTCAGAGCGACAAAAATGTATAGAGATCTCCGAATTAACTATTGGTGGCCATGCATGAAGCGTGATGTGGCCTGGTATGTGGAGAGGTGCTTGACTTGCAGGAAAGTCACGGTCGATCATCAGCGACCTCCAACAAAATAGAGCTGTTGAATATTTCTATTTGGAAATGGGAAGAGATTACAATGAATTTTATCATGAAGTTACCTAGGACAACATGCAAAGTGGATTTGATATGGGTCATCGTGGATCGATTGACCAAGAGCGCACACTTTATCTCGATCCAGGAGATAATTTCGGATGAAAGGCTACCCGACATCTACATTCGGGAGGTTGTGGCACGGCATGAGGTGACGGTTTCCATGGTTTCTGATAAGGATGTTCGGTTTACTTCTAGGTTCTAGAAAGAGATTACACGAGGAGTTGGGTACTCGTCGATATTTCAGTACAGCTTTCAACCCGCAGGCTGATGGTCAGACTGAGTGGACTATCTAGACATTGGAGGATATGTTGCGGGCTTCTGTACTGGATTTTGGCGGGACTTGGGATACGTATCTTCCTTTGGAGGAGTTTTCATATAACAACAGTTCTCATGCCAGCATTGATCGACCTACTTTTGAGATGCTCTATGGGAGGAAGTGCAGGACCCCAATATGTTGGGATGAGGTCGGTTAGCGAGTCATGGGTAGTACGGAGGTGGTACTTTGGAAGACTGAGTTGATTCAACAGGTTCGTCGCAGACTTCAGACAACATAGAGCCGACAGAAGAGCTACTCAGATAGACGTCGGTTGGACTCAGAATTTCAGGTTGGGAACATGGTGCTCCTGAAGGTGTCACCTTGGAAAGGTGTCATCCGATTCAGGAAGCGGGGTAAGCTAGACCCCATATATATTGGTCCTTTCAGGGTGTTGGCCCGGGTGGTCAGGGTTGTGTATCGCTTAGATCTACCAGAGGAGCTCATCCAGATCCATATCACTTTCCACGTCTCTCAGCTGCAAAAATATTTGGTAGATGATTCCGCAGTGGTTCCATTGGAGGACATTCAAGTGGATGATCGCCTAAATTATATAGAGAGACTAGTGGCGATCCTCGATAGAAAGACGAAAACTCTTTGAAACAAGGTTAGGGAATTGGTAAAGGTGCAGGGTCAACACCGAAAAGGGTCAAAATGGACGTGTGAGCCTGAGGAGGAGATGAGAGAGCATCACCCAGAGTTGTTTGCAGTGGTGGACTTCGAGGACGAAGTCTGATTCAAGTGGGGGAGAGTTTTGACACTCGATATGTCAGGTAAAATCTTTAGCTAATTATCTTTTTCTATTATTTGGCTTAAGTACCTTGTACGTTGGGCGTACATAAGGCTACGTCGGGCGTACTTCGAAGCATGCATGACACGAGGTTAGCCCTATGGTACGTTGTGTGTATGTCAGCCAGATGCAAACCCTAATTTTTAGGGTTTGTACCCTATTTAAGTACCTTATATCCCCAAGGATCTCTCCTTATCAGCCTCCATTACCACTTTTGAACTTTATCCTTAAACCCTAACCCATTTTCAAGAGATTGACCCTTGTGTGTGTTTTGGTGTATCTGTGGTGCATATCAAAGAAGAAGAAGCCTTGTAGAGGAGCATTAATCAAGTAGGAGCTTGTAGATCTAGAGGTCATCTATCATTTTCAACCTCCAGGAGGTATAAAGTCTTAACCTTGTTCATTCTTTGCTTAGATCCAGGTTACTTACGGTTTTGAGCATATTTTGGTGCCATGAGTTGGTCTTTATGAGTAAAATCTACTCCAGAAGATTTAGGTTGTACTTATTGGTGTTTTGGGGTCCCTTGTTCATAAAAATCAGGTCTTGATGGTTTTGGTCCAACCATGCGTCACTTAATGGTTATCTTATTGAGTATAGAAGCTATAAATGAAGTTTATGCCTCTTTAAGTCATGCAATAGAATAAAGTTTGAAACTTTATGGATTAAGACATTATTTCGAAGTTAGATATGTGTTTTGTAAGTTGGACTTAAAGAATTTAGTGCTCAGTGGACGCTTTTGGCTGACAGGGGCATACGTCGGGTGTACGAAAGCGTACGTTCAGCGTATGCGTCCGGGTTCCCAATTCTAGTGTCGCGACCTAGTACATCGGGGCGTACTAGTGGTATGCTTAGCGTATTTGATCACAGGCTAAGTGGGCTTTTGATCTTGGGCTGCTTTTGGACTCTAGGGTTTTCGGCTCTTTTTGGGCCACAAGTGTTTTTTGAGTTGGGCCATTGTTAGGCCTTGGGACTTTATGGATTTGGGCCTATATTGGGCCTTGAGTGTCTTTTGGACTTTGGGCTAGTTGGGTTTGGACCGTGATATGTTAGGCCCAATATGGGAAGGCTAAAACAGTCTTTTACCCTTAAGAGTCGAGATTGAGGATTTGGACTCTCTATTTGGGTTAATGACCTCATTGCTAATTAGTGTTCTATTATTTGTGGTTTAGTGTGGGAATTTTACGATTCAGCTGTCGAGTGTGATTTGTTTATCTTCAGAGTGAGGTGAGTTCCTTCACTGTACTCGTGGGTCGAAGGCACCAATGTTGGGCCACTGGATTATGTTCGTAGGATGATAGTTGTCTTCGTGACAATTTCATGCTATACCTGTATGTGCTTGATGTCTCTGTGAATCTTGTTGATATGATTTTATGCTAGCTATAGGTGTTAAATAGACCCGATACCGGTTGAAAGAGACCGAAGGGGGTGAAATATACCAAGTACTGGTTGAAAGAGACCGAAGGGGGTGAAATAGACCTAGTACCGGTTGAAAGAGACCGAAGGGGGTGAAATATATCTAGTACTGGTTGAGAGAGATTAAAGGGGTGAAATAGACCCAGTTACTTACAATTTAAGCTGTATGCTTACAATTTATGTTATGGTTTCAGTTACTTACACCGCGAAAGGGAAGGGGGTGACATGATCGCACCGCATCCGCCCTTGTATTCTGCATATTGTGGTTTTGGGATTTTATACTCTGATGTTATTTCCACTGTGATACACTTTTGGTTGTTTTGATACTCTGATGTCTAGGGCTTCTAAACATAAATATATTATATGTAATATATATATATATATATATATATATATATATATATATATATATATATATATATATATATATCCTTAACATATATTTTTCACAATTTAGTATCACATCAAGCCACTAGCCCTCACGTCATTTTTTTTGTGTCCTTATGTCCCACTTCTCAGATTGTAACTATTTTTTTCCGGCCTCAGCTCCTTGGTGAAACTTCATAGGCAATCCACCCCACTTTCCTTCACCAGTGATGCTACACCGTAGCTGCATAAAGTGTCCAGTTGTCTTCTGCTGTTCGCCACAGTGCTGTCAGTCATACTATTGGGAATCCTTCTTCCACCTTCGTCCTCTTCACCAGTGTTACTCTAGCAACAGCTACAGTGCAAGGCTGTCATTTTTCTTGTTTAATTATGTTCGCTATACCGACTCCGAGACGACCACTATTTCGTTGCCCCATTGATTACGGTTGTTTGGTATTGTATCGAGGCTACAATCCTTCTACCTGAGGTGAGCAACCTAACTTTTGGCACGTTTTTTATTTCACGTTATTTCTCATTTTCCTGGATCATGTCTACACTCACATCTTCATCAAACACCATATTTTTGGTTACAAGACCAATTTCATAACAATAAGAAAGGTACTCCATCTATTACTAGTTATTGTCACACTCTCAATAATCATGTCGATACCTTCTCTGATCACTGAAATCGACCTTGTGATGCAAATCTTATGCTAACTTCCACCATCCTATCATAGCATCGTCGACGTTCTCACGAACACAAATTCGTTCCCCTCCTTCTTGGAAGCGAAAAAAATGCTCCTACTACATGAAGTTGGTGAAGAAAACTCTAAATCCATTACGGATACTCCGAAGTCCAACAAGACACTTTATTTTGCTTCATCAAATCCCAGTAAATCGAAAATAAATAAAATAAAATCAGAAGCGCGACCGAAGGCGAAATACGTCTGGCAGCTTCACATTAGGATGTTGGATCATAATCATTTAACATACATTGAACCGTACAAAACAATGTGTGACATAAATATCACTTCCATTTCATGGTATAGATTATGTTAGGATTAAAATCCTTAAAGATCGATTAGATTCAGAACAAGTAAGACAAGAACACAATGATGATTCAATAATGTCGAATGATTAAGTGTCACACCTCAGAAGAACTCTATGAAGAATTGCTACTGTAGAGGCGTGATTAGGGTTACAGCGTAATAATCAAAGTTAACGAAAATACGATGCATGCATGCATCTTAAATACTCTAACCCTAGAAATAAAGACGAGTGGACATGCCCAACTCGTTAACATAAAAGACTAACCAAAAAGCCCAATTACGCAAAATCTAATACCCAACAATCTCCCCCTTTGCGTCAATTGAGGCCCGAACTCATTAGCCTTGAATTCACTTCTGAACTTCGTAAACTTTGGGAATGATGCCAAAAATTTCCTGTCGAATTTGCATGTACCACAAAATCATATCAGTGAAGCACTTGATGTCATCCTTACTGTTCCCCTTAAATCTCTTCACCAAGTCCAGTAAATGCTCAAGGAAGGATGTAGTGTACAAATGCTTGTCAGAAAGGAATAAACATCCCATGCGAAGATCAGCGCCAGTTCGTTCCGTAGCTTGATACACCACATACCATTCCTTAATGTAAATCTTCCCCAGCTTCAGCTTTTCAAAGTCTTTTGGAGACTCCTTACGAATAGCAGAAGGCTTCTTTTGCAACACCGCTGCACTATCTACGTCCATATCCCCAATCTCTTGAATGTAAGACTTGATCATTATCTGGAGATGAGGCATGACAGGTTCGTATTTTTCTTTGTCTTTCAGCAGCATGTTGTAAAGAACGAGCCAGTCATTGGGGTTAAGACAAGGTAAGTCTGAGAGAGTGAACTCGTAGCACTGACTGGTTGGACCTCTTGCCACTTTGAACTTCGCGTTCAGAAAGCTGTCAGTCTCGATTGGTCCAGTGACTTTCACACCAGTTATTTTGCTTCAGGACCATGTCTCATATTGCGGCGTCATATGCTTCAGATAAAAAGAGAACAACATGTGATCAGCTCCACTGTCTGTGATTGGAACATTCGCAACTTTCACAAAAGCACGAAAACGAAAAGCCTTTGGAGTGATTGGTAGATCCAATTGCGAATCTTGTGTGTTTTGAAGATCAAACGACACAATTGGCTCTAACCAATACTGGCTAGGTCAATCGACAGCATCATTCTGGATTTGCTTCATGGTCCACTTGGGAAACAAAAGCTTCTTGCTTTGAAGAGTCGCCTGAGCCTCTTTCTCAGCTCTTTCTTTTTTCTTCAGCCGCTTGGATGATTCGTTGGTGCTCATCCAGTTCGGCTTCACGAGCCTTTCGTCTTTTAAGCTCGTTTTCATCCATATTTTCTTCTTCTTCACTGTTGTCGATGATGGGCTCTTCACTGAACAATTTTTCCTTGCCCTTGGGTTCTTGCTTGATAACAGGTTTGACTAGAGCAACAGGTACAGGTTTAGCTGGAGCTTTGGGTTCTTCTTTTCTTTATCCGCCAGACACCCCTTCTCGCCCTTGTTTCTGATTAAAGTTTTGATCTGAAACACCTTCTATCCTAAGAAGCATTGCAAAAATAGGTCTCACCTTCTCAAGCATATGCGTTCGTACTGTGATGGTGAGCATTGAGTCCCTGGTCTCAAGGATATCTGAGATCATTCCTGTAACATCTGTAATACAGCTTCGCATGACAGCCCTCTCAGATAACAAATCATTGACCTGTTTCTCTGAAGCTTCTAGTTTGGCACTTAACACCTTTACTTCTTCGGTCTTGAGGGCAAGAGAGTCCTTGATGTTACTCTCCTTTGTCAGTTCGTCTTGAAGCTTGGAAATTTGAGAGGAGATGGTGGTTTGAAATGTTTCATGGTCAGTTTTCAGACCAGTACGAATCTCTTGCAATTTAGCCTTCTCGTATTTGAAGAGAGAACCCAGACTCTTTAGAGCTTCATTGGTTGTAGTGTGATTTGAGTTAAAGGTGGTTTGGAAGTTCTCCATCTATGCAGAAGTGTTAGAAATTAGTTTATCGACTTTTTCGGTCGTAGTCTTGCAAACTTCAGCAGAATCAGCAACTGCTTTATTCATCTTTTCAGCATTGGCAGAATGCTCCTTCGTGATTCTTTCAAAGATAGACTCAACTGCCGTCTTAGAGTACGCATCAGAAGATGAAGCCTTGGCAGAAAGAATCAGTTGGTCAATCTTTTCATGAAGGGACTGAAGTTGCCCTTTCTTAACAAACACCTCATCTTCACTCTCAGTCTGTATTTGGAAAGGACTGTAAGTGAATCCCCCAAGATATTCGTCTTCATCATCAACAAAGATCATATCTGGGTCATCTCGGTTAAAAGGGGAAATAGGAGGTGAAACATGGGAGGTTCGGTAGAGGTAGAGGTAGAAGATGGGATTGTACAATTAGTGAACAGTGGGGTTGAAAGAAGAATGCTAGTTTGTTGTTGCGAAGAAACTGGTGGAGGCCATGGTGCAATGGTAATTAGGTTAGAAGTGGTTTTAGGTGAAGGAGGAGGAGAAGGAACTAAATCGTTAAGAATTTGAGTTACCTCAGGATTTGATGTCTGTTCTTCGTTGCGAATGGTATAATCCTCGTTGCAAACATTATCATTGTCGTTGCGAACAGGATTATCCTCCTCGATGCAAATGTCCTACTGAGTATCAGACTCTGAACCTTCACTTTCACTAGGTGTGGGGGTCTTTCGCTTGCGAGCCGGCTGCTTTCGTCTTTTGGGAGCAGCAACAGAAGTGCCCGTTGGTTCTTTTCTTTTGGAAGGAGGTTTCGTAGTTGCAGATGGCCCTTCCTTATCAGTGGTTTTCTTCTCTCCCTTCTTTGAACCTTTTTGCCTCCCCTTTTTGGGTTTGTCAGCCTCAGCTATGATAACTTTCATTTCTTCAATTAAAACACGAGGCCCAGATGGAGTCAACTTCCTGTACCCCTCCAAGATTTTGCTAGAAGCTGGCACATCTCTAAATATTTCTTCTGTGATTGAACCAATGAAAGAAAACTTGGAAGAATCTAAAACGATAGTCCCAGTAGTGTGAAAGGTAGAGATGGATGCCATCAACGTGTCTTGCATCAGTGGGATCTTGAGCTTGTCAATGGAGCGGTGGACAATGAGATTCCAAAAACGTGCACATGAGATTTCACTGTAACGTGTGGTGGAGAGTGTGCTCTGAACTACTTGATCCCAAAGAACAGAGCCGTAGTCGATGTTCGACCCCGTGTAGAGGCCATAGAGAATGGCCATGAACAGCTTGCTTGTACAGTCCGATGCGGTCACCCTTTCAGAAAAACCCTTAAACAATAAGGTGAAAAGACCATTCCACTGAGGAGGCAGATTGGGTTTCCTAAACTTTAAAATGGAGGTTAGGGTTTCTTTGTAACCCATTTGGTAGAACATTTCGAGAAGAGCAGAACTTGTCACCGAATCAGGATTAATCATGTCATCAGATTGAAGAAGCTGTAGGAGAGAACAGAATCGAGATTTAGTGATTGAAGTCTTACGGTTGTGGATCTCGAACGTGATCCTCTGTTCTTCCTTAATGTAGTTTTCCAATGAGTAAGCCTTAGACAGGAGTGAGAGAGGAACATTCTCCATTCTTGATAGTGCGATTGTGAGTGGAGAATACTTGAGGCATTCGATCATAGGTAGCATGAAGTTATCGTACTTGACTGGGTCGAGATCGATCACCAAGTTCTGATGTTGTTTAACTGCTAGAAGATAAGAGTGTGTTGTTTGATCTTGAGCATTGATGTTTTCAGATGAACCCGCTATTGATGAAGCTTGAGAAAGAAGAAGATGAACAGGAGTACTTTGACCGCCGAAGATTTTGAGAGGATTTTGTGAGTGGTAATGAATAACGAGTCGTCAAAATCCTTTTTTACCGTTTGATTTGTGAGAGAAAGTCGGAGAGAGAATGCATCGGTTACTGAAAGGGCGCCTGAAAAAGCGAGACTTGACAACTGTAGATGTCAGTCCCATACGTCATGTAGCAGTAAAGTAGGTGTCGATTCAAAACGTTCACGCGCCCATTTGAATTCTTATCGACAAAGAATTTCCGCGTCAGCTATGCCCTTTTGCAGTTGAGAGTGATGAAATTTGTCTTTCTTGAAAATGAACTTCAGTGATTGAACTGCGAACTTGAAAATAAACATAAGAACCACGAACCAGACTTTTTGAAAATCACTAGGATGTTCGTGCAAGAGTGTCAAAGATAAAGAAATAAAACAACACTTTTATGTGGGATTTTGTGATGTCTCAATAAAGACACAAAACTATGGTTCCCGGGCAAAGATCTCTTCCTTCAAAATCAAGAGAAACTAAGAAGTGTCTGTGTGGCTTCCCGTTGAAATACGATCAAGTGTTTGATAAGAAACATTGAAAGGCATCTTTTAATTAGGCTTAATGGGTGGCTAAATCTCTAACCAAACAACGAACTTGATATAACTATGAATGTTGGATAAAGTACTCGTGTGACCAGTGTAGTCAGTTGAACGAGTAGGTTTGGAATTATTTTGGTGATAAGATTAAACTTTGAAATCTCAAAAAAATAAAACTGGATCTTATGGGAAGAGGTGACTTGGAACCAGAACACTTCATAAAGATCTCGCAAAAGAAAAAAGAGATTCCTTGGTACAGACCACAAAAGTGGATTTCGTTAATTCCATGGTGAAAAACTTGAACATTTAATTGTTCACTGTCAATTCATGTAAGTGTGTTGGATTTTGGGTTTCACTCAGTTCGTTGTGAACGAAGCTATGATCATTAACACAGAAATTGTGTAACCGTAAACCTCAGTGGTATAGCTGAGAGTCTCAAGGGTTACATTTATGAATGTGAAGGCAATGGAGAAGTATGAAGGTGGTTCCAGAGAAGCGAATGTACCTCTGTTATACGTAAGTGACTAATCAAATAACTCTTAACTCAAAGTGAGAAGAGTAAGGTAGCTCATGACTAATGTGAATTTAATAGCCTAGTTGGGAAGAAACGAATGGTAGATTCGATTCATTAAGGCTTCGCATCGAGTCAAACGAGGCTTTCGACAACATACATCAGCATGCTTCTAGGGACACTTAGCTAATACATAGATAAAGAATTTTATACCTGCCCTATCACATGAATTTAGATATGATACGAATCTGTGCCTCCATGATCTTCGTAAGATATTTTTGGTGTTTTTGAGATTTGTAAAAATAAAAAAAAAATTAAAAATTAAAAATAAACACAAACAAAATATTTTTGTATTTTGAGATTTTCTAAAAAGAAAAAAAAAACAGAAAAGATTGAACGGCAAAACAAGTATAAGAAATAATATACATAAAGTACAAAAGGATATTGGAAAATCTGAACCACCGATGAACAGTTGACTGCGAGCTACTGCGAGCGTTCGCACCGATTCGCAGTGTAAAAGTAGACTGCGAATGAACAATGGACTACGAACTACTGCGAACGTTCGCACCGATTCACAGTATAATCATTATGTATGCGAAAGTGGTTTTGGAACAGATTCAACTTCCATCATTCCTAGGCCTTGAAGAATTCTATTGAAGGTTGTTTCAGGAAAGGCTTTTGTGAATATGTCAGCGAATTGATCAGAGGATCTCACGAAATGAATTTCAACGTTACCGTCTTCTACGTGATCCTTGATGAAATGATACCTCAGTGCTATGTGTTTCATCTTTGAGTGTTGCACTGGGTTGTGACAAATGCAAATGGCACTTTCAGAGTCACAATATAATGGGATTCGTTTCATGCTTAAGCCATAGTCACGAAGCTGACTTTGAATCCAAACGACTTGAGATGTACATGAGGAAGCAGCTATATATTCAGCTTCAGCTGTTGACAAGGATACACACGTTTTCTTCTTGGATTTCCAACTGACAAGTTTGCCATCGACAAATTGACATCCTCCAGTTGTGCTTTTTCTATCTAATCCACATCCTCCAAGGTCAACATCCGAAAACTCTTGTACGAAGAAGCCTGATTTCACAGGGTACCATATGCCAAGTGATGAGGTTCGTTTCAAGTATCTGAAGATATTCTTGACGGCCACCATATGAGGTTCGCGAAATTTGCTTGGAACCTAGCACAATAATAAATGGAAAACATAATATTTTGGTCTACTAGCTGTTAGATACATCAAAGATCCTATCATTTGACGATAAGGGGTCATATCAACAGCTGGTTTTTCCAAAAGATGGTGTCAGTTTTATTCCAAATGCCATTGGAACCTTCGCTTTTGAGTCTCCCACCATGCCAAACTTAGCCGGTAAGGTCTTCATATATACTTCCTGATTTATGAAAATGCCTTCTGGTCCCTGTCTTATATTCAATCTAAGGAAAAAGTTAATTGGACCCATGGAGCTCATCTCAAATTCAGTTTCCATCAACTTTCAGAATTCAGCTGTTAAACTAGGATTCGTAGAACCGAAGATGATGTCATCAACATAAATTTGGACGATCATCAAGTGGTAACCCTCTTTCTTGCGAAAGAAGGTTGGGTCAACCGAACCTTGTTTAAATTTGGACATTTTAAGGAAACGAGTGATAGTTTCATACCAGGCTCTCGGAGCTTGCTTTAGATCATAAACTGCGTTATCTAAGATGTAGCAGTGATTGAGATACTTCTCATTTACGAACCCAGGTGGTTGTTCCACATATACAGTATCTTCTAATTCTCCGTTCAAGAAAGCACATTTAACGTCCATCTGAAACACCTCGAAGTTTTTGTGCGCTGCGTATGCCAAGAAGATGCGAATAGATTCCAACCTTGCAACAGGTGCTAAGGTTTGTTCGTAGTCGATGCCTTCTTCCTGACAATATCCCTTAACCACGAGTCTCGCCTTGTTTCTTATAAAATTCCCTTCTTTATCCAATTTGTTTCAAAACACCCACTTTAAACCAACAACCGATGCATCTGGTGGAGTTGGAATCAACCTCCAAAATTTGTTCCGTTCAAACTCGTTGAGTTCATCTTGCATCGCT